CTGTATATATCGTCAAATAGAACTGCCCGGTAAACCGTAGGCAGAGAGGGAGAAGAGGACAACAAACGAGGGGCTGTGACAAACTGTTTCGTCGGAGTTTCACCGACTATATGGAAGCTCTGTTTGACTATATATTAATTTTGAGGTAAGTACGTTCATGTCACCTTGGACTATCGAATGGGCAAGAAAAACACGCGTCGGCAAAGTAAACCGTGCCGAGTTTGAAAAGGCAACGGAAGTACCGACGGCTGTGGTGTCAGACCGGGTGTCATATTTACGGGGTCGGCCGTGGTGTCAGAGGGGAAAATAATAAAAAACGAAAATGGCGAACTGCTACTTTTGGACCGAAATCGCTCATTTGGAGTTGCCGCATGCTTTCTTTGCCGACGCGAGTTTTTTGTGCCTTTAAGAGTTTTGAAACATGCCGCGTCGCCGTTGTTTCATTACTTTTTTTACAAGAAACTTTGGACGGGGGGCAGCACTTGAGGAGGTGATACGAACACCCTCCCAAAGTGGCCCTCCAGTTGAAGGCTCCATTTATTGGTAGGCCATTCTTCTTCTTGAACGGATGGATCGTAGCCTCGTAGGGCTTGCACGATATGTCAAAAGGCTCAAAACATATTCTTTTTCAAGTTTCAACAGGATTTGAGCCTGTGACCTTCTGAGATTGTCACACAAGGATTTGAGCCTCGCCAGCTACATCGGGATTGCGAGCTACGTAGCAAAAAATAGTAAAATATAAGATTCAACAGATTCACAGATATCTGCCGCGTCTAACCACTTGGCCTTGGCCACTCTCCTTAAGAAATTCCGCATCCTCCAACAGGATTTGAACCTGTGACCTTGTCCTTTCTGTGACAATGCTTCACCATGGCCACATGGTTTTGAGCTGCAATGATGTCCTGTCCTGTCCAATCTACCGGCCAGGTTAATCAAGTGCTGGCCGCCCTCCTTCTGGTGGCCATGCCTGGCATAATAACATTTTGTGCATGCTCCTTTGTTGTCATGAAGAGATGACGACCATCGGATCGCGTACGTATTGGAAATGTCTCCCTGATGATACAACACACGCCTGACAGCGGCCTCATGGTAGCCTGTCGTGGTTCTTCGAATTGTCCGCAGTGGTTTTTTAATGCCTGCCCTGAGAGGCATGAGGACCATTCCCTGATGATAAAACTCGCCGGATGGTGGCCTTTTCTTTTTTTTCTTTTTTTTTTATTGACACCTGCCGAGGCTGCTAAGGGTGGTGATAAGAGCACCTGGGCTGCTTCACGGTAGACTATCGTGGTTTTCAAATGTCTGCTGTGCTTTTCGAATGCCTGCTGTTGTGTTTTTTTAACCCCCAGTTCTTGGCCCATACGTCGTCCGCGAGCCCCTGTCGTGTACTTGCCGCGTTAAGCGGGCTTTGCGCCTAACGGACCACAATGGCTGGCGGCACCAGGCAAACGGGAAAAAAAAAGTCGCGCTGGCAGTTCGACAAAGCTTGGCGCGCAAGGCGTTTCCCTCACACTGGAGAAAAGTGCCTCGGAAGTTTGCATCGGGAACTTCCCCTGGCGAAAGAACACGCCGCCCGGCGGCCTCATGGTGGTGACTGTGACTGTTGTGGCTTTCGAAAGCCTGCCGTGGGTTTTGAATGCCTGCCGCAGAGGCAACATGAGACCCAAAACAACCAGTACTTCTCCGAAGTGCGGCCATAAACACGTAGGGAATGTGCGGGTCCTCTGTGCCAGGACAGAAATGCATGACAAACCGATGCAGCACTGTAGCTTGCTTGCCTGCCGCAGAGGTAACATGAGGCCCAAAACAACCAGTACTTCTCTGAAGCGCGGCCATAAACGCGCTGGGAATGTACGGGTCCGCTGTGCGAGAACAGATTACTTCACAACAAACCGTCGCGACACTCTAGCTTGCTTGCTTCCCTGGCGTGGGTTTTGAATACCTGCCACAGAGGTAACATGAGACGCAAAACAACCAGTACGTCTCGGAAGTGCGGCCAATGACGTCCATAAACACACTGGGAATGTACGGGTCCGCTGTGCGAGAACAGATTACTTCATGACAAACCATCACGGCACTCTAGTTTGCTTCGCCGCCGTGGGTTTTGAATCCCTGCCGCGGAGGTAACATGAGACGCAAAAAAACAATACTTCTCAGAAGTGTGGCCATACACGCGCTGGGAATGTATGGGTCCGCTGTGCGAGAACAGATTACTTCATGACAAACCGCTGCAGCAGTGTAGCCATAGCCACGGGAAATGTACTGGTGGTTTAATGAAGGGCTAGCTTTCCTGCTTTTGCCAGAAGAACGTAGAGCTCATGCTCCTTCTTGAAAGGATGGATTCTTTCGCGACCTAGTTTCGGTCTCTCCCAATCGAAGTAGTGTGGCCGTTGCGACGAATCAAAATAGTCCGTATACTGACAGTTACCACCCATGTGCATATTAAACATTAAAACAAAAAAAATGAAAATAAGAGGCACCACCCATCCACAGAACCATCCAACAGCCAAGCACATATCAGCAGTGTCAAGTTTTTTTGTTTTTTTTTTGGAAGTCAAGACAAATGACTTTTGTTTATTTTTTTGGGGTTAGACAAATAACCCTTTTTTTTTTCCTTTTTTTTTCGGGTTGCAATGTAAGCTCGACGAATATCTCAAGTCTCAGAATTCTGAAATTTCCAATTCATGACTGCGGTGAAATGAGGCTGGGGAATTCTTCTCCCTCTCTGCCTACGGTTTACCGGGCAGACTGTTTGACGTATAGTCAAACAGAGCTGCCTGGTAAACCGTAGGCAGAGAGGGAGAAGAGGACATCAAACGAGGGGCTGTGACAACCTGTTTCGTCGGAGTTTCACCGACTCATCATACACATAGTATATACATCTATATATATAATATATATACATACATATATATCCTATCCCTTAAGGAGCATTGGCCGCCGGGGGGAGGTCGATGGTCCGCTGCGCTCCAGCATCGGGCTGAAGTTTTGGTGCGGACCGGCGGATGAAGGTGGTCGAGGGCGGGGGGGGGGAGGGRGAGCAGTGCGCCTACCGAAATGTTCACAGCGCGCCAGCAAACGTGAGTGAGCGCCCACGGGGCCGGGCAGCGGCGGCCGTAGATGTGACGGAATATCTTGAAGCGCCTGCCGTCAACAAGCGGCTGGTGCAGACCTTTTTTTTCTTTTCCTTTTTCGTTTTGTTCCGTCTGTTTCAAAAACCCGTGGATATTCATTTTCGTTTTTTTGTTCGTTTCGCGGTTTTCCCGTAGTCTGTTTTGCAGCCACTTTCTTTTTTTTTTTTTCCTCTCGTCGTCACAGTTTTCGCGTCGTTTGCTTTGCGGCCGTGCGTTTGTCGTTTCCCTCTTTTTTTTCTTTTTCTTTCGTGGCTTTTCGGCATTTCCTGCTTTTTTTTCTTTTTCTTTTGTGACTTTGGTTTTCGAGTCGTCTGTTTCGACCCACGCAAAGATTTGAGATACACAACTGCCTGATCTGATAACCACTCAGGTCAATTGGGTCCATTTGTGGTTTTGGGGACTGCTTCTTTATGAACTGTATCCAACGTCAGGCAGCTGGCAGGTCAAGATGTGCCTGTGTGTCCAAACCCTAACATTGCATAGTGTGGCAGGCGGGTCCAGTCCCGCAATTTTCAAGCGCCGACTCTAGCGATTTTTCGCGCTCAGACGAATTAAAGACAAAATATGAAAAATTGAGATTCTGTAGAGTAGGTTGTGATCTTTCCAGGAAAAATATCAAAAAAATGAAGAAAAAAAAAAAAGACCGTGAAATAAATGCCGCGTCATTTCGTTGCATTTTTCATTTTCGCCATTCTAGCACATGTTGGCCAACGGGAAAAATAACCCTACTTACGAGATTTTGTGCACTCAGAAGGATGACTCCACAACTCTGCAAATTGAAGGGCCTGTAGATTTGGTCGTGATCTTTCCACGAAAAATACTTTAAAATTAAAAAAAAATATTTAAGATCGTGAAATAAATGTCGCGCCAAATCGTCTCATTTCCCATTCTTGCCACTTTACCATGTGTGGCCCAACAGGAAAACTACCCCAACTTCAACGATTTTTTGCGCTGAAAGGAAAACGTCAAGAAATCTGAAAATGGAAGGGTATGTAGATTTCGTCCTGATCTTTTCAAGAAAAATATTTAAGAAAGTAGAAAAACTCATTTCAACTGTGAAAATGTACATTTTTACCGCTTGCCAGCTCTTCCCACTGTGTTACCAGTAGCCCTCATGAACCTGTGCTACCGGTCCCCCCGAATTTGGACGGCGGGGGCAATGGTGGTTAAAATGTTTATTAGGAAAAAAAAAAACTCCATGGGCACTTCTTAGGGGGTGCGGGTTTTGTGTGTGGTGACGCATGATATGGATCCAAGTCCGAAGAGTGGGGGGCAGGGGGTTGGCCTGCAACTTCGAAAAAAAACTACTCTACGACACACACACACACACACACACACACACACACATGCGCAGGTACACACACACATACATACACATACACATACACATACACACATGACACTCACACACACACACACACACACACACACCCACATACCAACACACACACGGGGGCACACACACACATACAAACACAGACAGACACATGCGTGTACCGACACACACGCACACACACGTGATACACACACACACACACGCACACACACACACTCTACTCTTTGACACTCTACAACACTCTACTCTACGCCATTCTACTCTACGACAGTCTACTCTACTCTACTTCACGACATTCTACTCTATGGCATTCTACCCTACGACACTCTACTGTACGTACCCTACCCTACTCTACGACACTCTACTCTCTCTACTCTATAACACTCTACTCTACGACAGTCTATTCTACTCTACTCCACGACACTCTACTCTATGACACTCTACTCTACGACCACTCTACTCTACAATACTCCACTTTACTCTACTCTACGACACTCTACGACACTCCACTACGACACTCTACGACACTCTATGACACTCTACTCTACTCCACGACACTCTACAACACTCTATTGTACGCTACGACACTCTACAACACTCTACGACACTCTACAAAACTCTACTCTAGTCTACTCTGCAACACTTTACGAGTCTACGACGCTCTACTCTAGGACACTCTACTCTACTATACTTTACTCTACAACATTTTACGACACTTTACTCTAGTGTATACGCCCGTATGAATACGGGCCGTACATACTCCCGTACGGCCGTACGTACGGGCCCCGGCCCCCGGTACGGCCCGTACGTACGGACTTTGGGCCCTCCGTACACGGCCTTCCGGAGGGATGTTGAGGGGTTGGATGCGTCAGGGGGGGGTCGGATGTCAGTGGGTACCGCCCCCCATTCAAATGTTCTTTTTTTTTCCCCTGTCCCAGGCTAGGCTACCAGAGTGGCCCAGGCTCGCTTGCCTGGTCGGGCCAAAAAAATTAAAAATAATAAAAATAAACTAATTATTTGTAAATTTTAAATTTTATGCTAAATTTGGTGAAAGCTAGGCCGAAGGATAATTTGATTATTAACACAAATATTTTTATGACTAGAATTTTGATGTGACCCTGAGGCAAAACCTGTTCCGTTTATTTTTATGCATAACATAGTTTGTTTTTGGATTTTTTGGATTTTTTTTTTTTTTTTTTGCAGGGACCTTCCCTGGTCCTTGCACGGGCTGGCCACCTGGGACCCGGGCGGCCCGGCTGGTAGCCTAGGTCCCAGGTGTAAAAAAAAAAAAATAATAATAAAAAAAATTAATTGATTGATTAATTGGTTGATTGGTTGATTGATTGATTGATTGATTGATTGATTGATTGTTCTATTGATTGATTGATTGATTGGTCGATTGATTGATTGATTGATTGAATGATTGATTGATTGATTAATTGATCGTGAAAAAAAAAAAAAAAAAAAAAATCCATTCAAAAGATTGATTGATTGGTTGATTGATTGATTGATTCGCAGTGGGGGGGTCGCATCCCCCCGCGAACACACACATACACACACACACAAACGCGCGGCCTTTTTTTTTGTTTTTCTTTTTTATTGATTGATTGATTGGCAGTGGGGGGGACGCCTTCCCCCCGCGAACACACACACACACACACACACACA